CTTCGTTTCTTGTACTTTACACTCTTCCGATCTATCGAGGAAAGGATTACCATACAATATACAAATACATGTATATTCTCTCGAGGTATTTCTAGAAACTACACGGATAATTACTCCCACGAAGTATTAATCGATCCATGAACAAAACACCAATAAACATTCTTTGGTATAAAAGTCGAGAATTACAGAATACAGTTTTGTGAAAGCATGATAGTGATATATATATCAAAGTAAAATAAAGTAAATTAAAATACTAAAAATTATAAATAAAATATATATATCAAAGTAAAATAAAGTAAAAATAATAAAGTAAAATAAAGTAAATAATTAAATACTGATTTAATTATTGTTAGTTAATTAAATACAGATTTGAATTAATGTTAAAAGTAAATTAAATACACTACTTCATAGAATTAAAAAATGTAATGAATTGTAACCAAGGAACTGTCGATCCTCGAACTGTCGTCTAGAAAAATCGAAAATAGATTTTCAATCTGGACTTATTTCTCCATTTCCACGATCAATTCTATATTCTGTTTCCGAGGATGTTTGTACACTACGCAGCGCATAGGAAAGCGAACGTATTGCCTTGCTCGAAAATGTTACAAAATGGTAAAATATTTTGGCACGTGGTAAAATATTTTTCACAAGGTAAAATCCATCTCGAAGATTGAATATCCCGCAGAACTTGTATCGTCATCACCGTCGCCGTTATAAATAAGAAGTATGCGCGCCATTCGGATAATCGAACGAGGTTGCGCCGGCATTTCGAGGCTGAACCGGCGGTTATCTCGTTGGTGTACAAATAATTCAGATGATAAACGAATTACGTCGAAACGAGATGATGAAAGGCACGTTTAGGGCGCGAGACGAGACGCCGGGCTGTGCATTAATGCGAGGGCTGATGTAGCAGAACGTTTGACCCCTCCGTCTCTAGCGCGAGAAAACAACGACAGGGTGAGATCGAGAGGGAGAAAGAGACGAGCACGTGCTCGACTCATGAATCAAGTCGTATTAGCGAAGAGCGTAGCAGGCCTGCCTAGGCACCAATCTACCACTCCAACATCGAGTAGATTGGATTTCGGAACTTTATTCAATTATCCGACAACCGGATCGAGGATCCGAGGCGCGTCGTTGAAGGTTTTCCGCGAGTATCGTTAGAACACCACGCGAAGATGAAAATTAATCAGGCGCTAATGGATCATCTTGGCTTTCCGATTAGCAAAGGCGTTCAGAGTTCAGAGAGACATCTAAGTTCGGAAGAATTTTTCAACAAATTCCTAAAAGAAGTTCCCTTGAAGTTTCGGAATTAAGATCTAGGAAATGTCTCTGTTAGTTTCTGAAGCAGTTAGATTTGAGCAGAATTCGATAAAATTACAACATTCCGGTTCGTGATTTATCTGAAGCCAAAAAAAAATCATTTCTGAAAGTACACTGTAATATTTCTGACAAAAGTTACAAACTGGTCACTTTGATCACTAGTATTAGAAACAGCGTCCAATTTTAAAACTTTTAAACCAGACCTGTACATATATATATATACACAAACACCAAGGGAAATTGGTCATTTTGACCATTAGTTAGTAGGTAGTTCTAATGTTAACAACCACGGTGACGAAATTAAAAATTTAAACAAGCCAAACAATTTTTATTTGAAAGATCAAACATCGCGGTATAATATATTTCAAGCTATAGTCATTCATCAAAGGGAAGTGTATAAAACTCGCGTGGCGTGTTTCTATTCTAAACCAGAAAAGGCTGAACCTTTTTAAACACCAAGGGTACACTTTTCAACAGCGTCGAACATCCGACGATTCCTATTCGTCAAACAGAACGCATCTCGAGCAACGTGTATCTAGATTTCCCGATAACGAGGAAGGGTTGAAACGGCGAAAGAAAAGGAACTCCGAATCTTATCTCGTCACGGGAAAACTGTAATCTTTGGAAACTTACGAGATGTTCGATATCTCGGCTGGTTATCGGTATTTTTTTTTTCTTTTCTTTTCTTTTCTTTTTTCTATACAGATATTCGCGTCACGCGAATGGGTAGCGGTGGATTTCACGTTGCCAGATTCGAGAAACATCTGCCACATCGCATGGCGCATGGCTCGTCGCGTTACGAACCCGCGAGGGGGTTGTTTTCTCGTTCGTGAGCAAACAGGAGAGCGAGGAAACGCGGGACCCGTTTCTGCTTCTTATTCGAACGTCGAACATTCAAATGACCCTCGCGATGGAATTATCGGCTCGAACGATCGTGCGTGGAATCCTCTTGCTCGACCCCATGCCTCGAACAATGCGTTCCTCTCCAAGCTTGTTTTTACCCTAGAGGACAGTTTATTCCCAGGGACAGTCGATGGATTGATATATCGTCTGGTTCGCGTTTCAAGCGAAGAAAAGTGTCAAGGAATTGCTGTTTTTACGTTATGGTAGATATGTTTATGTGCGATTGGCTGTGTTCGACGTGTTCGACCGTGTCGCGTGTTAATATTCTCGCTGTAGACTTTGCGTTTTTTTTCTCTCTCTTTTTCTTTAGATTTTTTTTAGTCCACAGTAGTTCATGGCTGAACAGAAGAAGAAGTTCAAACAAGAAAGTCACGGATTTTATTTGAAAACGGAATAGCGCGACGCTGAATAAATACATAATAATTCGGGAGTAGGTTCTTCCAGGTATTCAGTTCCGAGTCTATCTAAACGAATTCCTCCGAATGCCGTTTAATGGAAAGTCGGAAAAATCGTATCTCACCAACCTGCAATTAATATCAATTAATAGCGACATCGTTAACTATAAAATTCCACACACAAAGCAACGACACTCTCGATACGTCTAATCGATACACCTCATGTTCGCAGTTCGGATTATCTATCCCCATAGGCGAGATCCACCCCGTGTATGGCGTCGTGTCGTCCGTTAACGACAAAAGAAACCGCATAAATAACTAAAGCGGGATGAAAAATTCGACGGGTCGAAAGGGTGAGAGGCCGCAACGCGGTGTGGTGCACGCGGTTCGGGCCGAGCGAGCGAGCGAGCAAGAGAGAAAGAGAGAAAGGAAGAGGAGGAACGACAGGAGGCGTGGCGAGACCGCGCACGCTCCACGTGACCGTGTCGTTCCGAAAGGCGGGACTTCGAATCCTGGCACACAACTACAAGGGCAGTAGAACGGGTTGGTGGTTGCCGGTGCTCTCTCTGTCGTCGCGCGCGCGGAGTATCTCGAGTCGCGCTCGTTCCACGAACGACAACACCTGCCGACGCCGATCACCGATCGCGGAACGCTCGTGCACGCATTCGTTCGTCTGTGACTGCTTTCCTTTTTTCTCTCGAAAGTGATACACCGGTCATCGTATCGTCATCGTGGCGATCGATCGGCTTCACCGGATTTAGCAGGCTCTAACGAGGGATTCGGAAACGAGGAAGAAACCCCGCGAGGATCATGGAGAGCAAGAGCGAGCACGCCGAACACGCGATGCGTGTCGTCAACGCGACAGAATGAGGCTGGTTGGTTCCAGGGAGGAATCAACTGCGAGGAATCTTCGTCGATATCGGTTGAAGCACACCTCAAACGTACACCACAAGCAAGATGCTGCTGCCTCAGGACATGATGGCAGCCCAGTCGAAGATGCTGTACCAGATGAACAAATACTATGGCGAGCGCGTGCAGGCTCGCATGGGCCAGGTACAGAAAACCATCCGGGAAGTGTGCAAGGTGGTGCAGGAGGTTCTGAAGGAGGTGGAGGTTCAAGAGCCGCGGTTCATCTCTTCCCTGACCGAGTGCAACGGCCGCTACGAGGGACTCGAGGTGATCTCGCCCGGCGAGTTCGAGGTGGTCCTCTACCTGAACCAGATGGGTGTGTTCAACTTCGTGGACGACGGCAGCCTGCCAGGTTGCGCGGTGTTGAAGCTCAGCGACGGACGAAAAAGGTCCATGTCCCTCTGGGTGGAGTTCATCACCGCCTCTGGCTACCTGTCCGCGAGGAAGATCCGCTCGCGGTTTCAAACGCTGGTGGCGCAGGCTTGCGACAAGTGCGCCTACAGGGACTCGGTGAAGATGATCGCAGACACGACGGAGGTGAAACTCCGTATCAGAGAGCGATACGTGGTGCAGATCACGCCGGCGTTCAAATGTTCCGGCGTTTGGCCGAGATCGGCGGCACACTGGCCGATCCCTCACATACCGTGGCCGCATCCGAACCTCGTGGCCGAGGTGAAGACCGAAGGGTTCGATCTGTTGTCGAAGGAGAGCGTGGCGCTTCAGGGGAAACAGTCGGCGATGGAGGGTGACGCGTGGGTTCTCTCTTTCACGGAGGCGGAGACGAGATTGCTGCAAGGCGGCTGTCGTAGACGGTGTCTGAGCATCCTGAAGACTCTGAGGGACAGACACCTGGATCTGCCGGGCAATCCGGTGACCAGCTATCACATGAAGACGTTGCTGCTCTACGAGTGCGAGAAGCATCCCCTGGAGACCGAGTGGGACGAGGGGTGCATAGCGGACCGCATAAACGGCATATTCCTGCAGTTGATATCCTGCCTTCAGTGTCGAAGATGCCCTCACTACTTCCTGCCGAATCTGGACCTGTTCAAAGGGAAGTCGCCCAGTGGCTTGGAGAACGCGGCCAAGCAAGTGTGGAGACTCACCAGAGAGTTGCTCACCAACAGCCGTGCTCTCGAGAAACTTTAGTAGGACATAGGATACTACGCGTTTCCCACTCGTCGTTCCCAAATCGGCAGAGACAGACAGAGAAGCGTTCGGGGATTCCGGTGACTCGTGCGAATCGCGAATTTCTTGGATGCTGCTTTCGCGACTTGGACGGTTCTATCCGCCTTTGTGCTTCTTTCATTATCGTAAACGCGGGAAGTCTGCTTTCACTCGCTGTCTTCTTGCACACGCTTCAGCGTATCAGGGTACCGGGGACCATGTAATGAGTTTCATTACCGTTGTCCCATCTTTCTTCTTCCTCTTCTTCTTCTTCTTCTTCTCCTTCTTACGAACTCTCTTTCTTTTTATTCGACGCGAGTCAAACGTCGGTTTTGTCAGTGCAATATTGTACGCCCAGTGTTTCGTTTCGTTGCGGAAGCAATTGTTGCTAAGTTCTACGTGTTGATTTTGCATAAACTCATTCGACGAGACAACTCGTTCAATTCCATTGATCGAAATGTTCA